TGGTTCTGTGTGTGCTTTGGAGAAAAATATCGACATTAGAAAGCAGAACGTACGAAGATGAACATCACAGAAAATGTGAAGAAGCAGATCTTTGAAAATCAGCCACAAAATCATTTGTTATAATAATGTGATGGTACCATGATTAACATGTGTTTTATATATTCTATGTAAAATACTGCAGAGTCCAGTTTAATATTGAAACTATACAGGAACATTCCGGTTATCAATAAAACTGTCACGCCTTAGCCATGAAATTTAGAATCAGTCACGTTGTTATATAATGAATGACATTGTAGGTTCTAAACCTTCATATTTACATTAGTAAAAGAAATATATACAATACATAATTTTGTAGGTTTGTAACCTTAATAGTTACATTAATCGAGTAAATTAGCATTTTATATAATGTTGCGCATCTCGACTTTAATATTTAAATTAGTTTAAGAAACATAAGTTATATAAACATTTTAAGATCAGAACTTAAAAGACATTTATCTAAAGTTCATTCAGAAATCTGTATAAATAATATTTTAAGGTTTCAAATTTGTCAGTAAATTGATATCATCATTTATATCGCACATTCTTAGCATGAATATTCAAATTAGTCAGTACATTTATATAAATAATATTGTGGGGTCTGAACCTTCAAATTCTAAATCAGATCATTTTATATTGTAAATAATGCTGTAGGGTTGTAACATTCATATGTACATTAGGCAGGTACATTTGTATGACATAAAATGTTGCAGAGTCTCTGCTCTAATATTGAATTTACTAAAGGAAATCTATATAAATAATATTCTAGGATTTTAAATTGCTCAGTAAATTTGAATAATTATTGATATTGTAGGTTCTTAGCTTGAATATTTAACTTGTGAAGTCTGAACCTTAAAGTTAAAATTCATTAAACACGTTTGTACAACATATAATATCACAGAGTCTGAGCCTTTACATTGCATATTGGATCACATTAAATTTGCAAAATGAATCTCATTTCTCTGTTGGAAAGCTCTCTGATCGTCATCATTTCCATTTTAGATGTGATTCGTCACTAACGGTGACTAGAGGCGATTAAATGTTGCTCAGTCTTTGTTCCAGCGTGAACTTCTGGCCGAGCTTCACATCCAATCAAAAGAACACATGAGAGAACAAAGACTTTCTTTTCTCATTAAATGGGGTTCATGTAACTGAAAATACAATCTATTAATTTAACATTTTGCTTTCTTCTTATTTTGCAGTTTCAATGTGTTTGTCATGCCAAGAAAAAGATCTCCAATTCCACATTTGTCAAAGTTTTTGCATTAATCAAGCATTCTTCTGCAGATCCTTGTTTCTGACTTGAACTGACACATTTGAATGAAGGTGAGACTGAAGCTTACCATCCAACATCGTGTTTTTGGTTTTACCAGCAGAGACGCTGACTGGACCCGGAGCTGACATCATATCAGATGGAGGCTGAATGCAAAACTCTCCAAACAGCGTCTCCTCATCGTAGCTGCTGCTGCTTCTTCTCTGTACAAACACTGTAAATGCAAAGCCGCCGTCTCAGCATGATGAATCTGTTGTATAACACCCGCACAAACGTTGTGTTCCTTCAGGTGCTCTTACCTGTGAATGGATCTGGTTGTAAAAAGAAGGCGACCCATAGAATGTTGAGAAGAACCACAGAGACGTGGACGATCCAGTGCATGTTTCTGCACCTTCACTGTCAGGAATAAAGACTGACACACTGTGTGGGACACATACACACCACAGAGTGAACCAGCCCATCATATAGATACTAAAATAGTCTCATTCGTGTTGAGCAGTTCACCACAAAACCAACAGGACATTATCTGCACAACATGTGATTTACTTTCCTATGAACAGAACACAGTCTGCACGCACACAGGTGGAGTTAAATTTCAACATTTAAGTTCCATTTGAAATAAAAAGTCTTCTCGAACTCCTGTTAAAACAACTTGTACAAAATGCACAGAACATTACTACACTTTATTTACAACCAAGAGCAATCTACATGTAGCGCTACTACTTCCCCATAGAGTTGTATTTGGGTGTGAACCTTAAAACTCTATGGGTCTCTCTGGAGCTAATACAGTTGCTAATAACTTGCACCTACTGAGATTGAAGGATGACTATGAGTAGTGTCAACCTTAGTAACGGCTGCTAGAGCTGCTTGTATTAATCCTACAGAAAGTCATGAAGGAAAAAAGTGTCACCAGTAGCCATTAGTCAGGCTGCATAACGACAAAAGTACATGTCATACATTACACTCACCAAGTTCTTCATTAGCAACACTTCTGTCATCTCATGCAACCCACTAGACATACAGTCAGGTCCTTGTACGTATATTAGGACAGTGACAATTTTGGGCATTGTGCCTTTGTAAACCACCACAATAGATCTGAAATGAAGCAATAAAAACATTGTTGAGGTGTAGGTGTTAACTCACGGGGTTTTACTAAAATTGGGCATAGACAAGACCAAAGAGCTATTAGAGACAAGATGGTAGAGCTTCACAAGGCTGGAAAGGGCTACGAGACCATCGGCAAGCAACTTCCTGAGAAGGTCGCAAATGTCTGTACAATCGTTCACAAATAGAAGAAACACAGGGCCATGGGAGGAGTCGACCTACTTCTCTGGTGTTGTGTTCAACAGCCATCAGGAAATGGTGAGTTTGCCTGAGCACAAATGTTCCCTCTACGTCTGGAACAAGATTCTTTGAAAAGACTGAGCTTATGTTAGAAAGATGGTGAAGAGAAGGGCGTGGAGAAGGAAAGGAAGGACACAACACAGACGGTGTTTGTAGGAGGTTTATACTGCAGGTTAATGCAGGTGATACAAAGTATCAAAGAGTTGTTACACAAGCATGATGTGGTTGATCAGTGGCTCTACTCAGCCTCCAGATGAAGCCACTAGAAAGCAAACTTTTTAGTTACTTGTAGAAGATTTGCACATTATTAGGAAAATCATGAGCACACGGTTACATGCATTTCATAGGATGTGATTTGATGAAGCAGCAGAAGCTGGACGGACCAACAGGCAGCTGGTTTAGAAGGAGCGCTCATTGAGATCTGTCATGATGTCCTTGACCCAGGAGAGACTGGGATCCACACAGATGCGACGAGACGATTTTTTTGTAATAAAACTGAAACAAAGAAGTGAGAAAAGTTAACGTCAGTATCATGATCGACACTCTTCTTGGACTTTTAATCCAAAATAAGAACAGCTACGGAGCAAAAACATACACGAGGAAACGCTTTAATGATAACTCGAGTAAAAATGAGACACAAAACAGCAAGAAGCCATTTCATTCTTGAAATTTCATAGTGATACTGAGTAATACACTTATTTGGATGATTGTGTTTAACATAGTGAGAACAAAGTAAATCCAGTTTGCAGCACTTACATGACTGCAGACTTGGCGCGATGAAATTTAGATTTTGTTTGTTTTTATTTTAACAAAGCATTGTTTATGTTGTTATTTATTTATTTCATTTCACTTATTTATTTTATTTGTTTATATTATTTTATTTGGTTACTTTATGGTATTTGTTCTTTTGTTTTGTTGTTTGTTTTATTTTATTTTTATTGAGTGTTCATTTTTCTGTTTTGGATTATTTTATTTAGTTTCTTTTATTTTAGTGTTGTTTCTGTTATTTTATTTTATTTTGTTTTATTGTTCACTTTATCCCGCGACCCTACTGAGGATTAAGCGATGTATAGAAAATGGATTGATGTTCACTCTATTTTACTCGTCAAAGAACAAACAAATAAAGGCAGACTTTTAAAGTTGAGGTGCAGATACGACTTCACAGCTGAAACAGTGACAAAAACCTTTTAAATGCACGTAGTTGGGCAGCTGCAACTTCTCAGTTTAGTGACTGAGCTCAACTTTTTATACTGTGTGAGATCGCTCTCCTCATTCACTGTAGAAAATACTTACACATAAGCAGTCCTAAAACGTTATGTTAATGATGTCATAAATCAGGCTGTATAAGAACAAAAGGACGTATCATATACTACAATCACAAAGCTCTGTACTAGCAACACTTTGAACATGTCATGTATTCCAACAGTAAAACAGAAAGGTACAAGAACGACCTGAGAGCTTCACCTTCTCAGTCCAGAAACCAACAGCTGATGTGGAGGTCGCTACCTTCATCCTTCTTATACAGTCTATGGTGCATCCAAGTCACTCAGTGGTGACTGGCAGAAAATTGAAATTGTGTTTCAATTCTCTTTTGAGGAAATTTCCATTTTCTTCCTCTAAATACAAAATACTATATTTTTCTGGAAATGCACTTTATAAATGTGTTGGAAATTATTAGAAAAACATTCAAATTGAGGATTATTTTACACCATTTCTAAGGAAAACAGATCAAGGTTCGCACAAACCAAAGACTTGACAGCTCAGGAGGAGTTCATAAGAAATGAGGCAAAGTTTTCACACCACTGACTGTGTTTGTATGAAGTTTATACTGCAGGTTGATGTGGCTGATACAAAGCATCAGAGATAATACACAAACAGGATGTGGTTGATCAGTGGCTCAATTCAGCCTCCACATGGAATCTTGGATTCCTTATAACAGGTTCGCACATTAAGACCAAAGTTATGAGCACACGGTTACATGCATTTCATAGGATGTGATTTAATAAAGCAGCAGAAGCTGGACGGACCAACAGGCAGCTGGTTTAAGTGGAGCGCTTGTTGTCAAGATATTTCATGA